GCTGAATCCTGCCTTAACCCTAGGTCCCTCTCAGGGTGTGGCAGACACCAAGCCTTCCTGCTTCCTGTCATTCTGTCTCCATCTCCATCAAGAGGATCAGTAGGACAGGAGTCCTTCACTGGGCAGTGGGGCCTGAGTGACACCTGAGACCTCTTACCCTACTAGAAGAAAAGAAGGGAACCATCATCCTGTCCACTCTTCTAGCTGGAATCATCTCCAGCCTCTTGTGGGCAAGGACAGGATGACCTTTGGGGTCATCCTAAACTCTGACCGAAAGCTGCTTCACAAGGAAAAGGCTTTATTTTATTTATTTATTTTTTTAAGGCTTTCTTTTAGACTGCCATTTTGTTATCACAGTCAGCTCAGAATCAGCTGACTTTGATGTTAAATGGAGTTTTACTTCATATCAAAGTTATAAATTCACATATTTAAATAATCAAATCCTTCTAAAAGGGTGGCTGCAAAAAACAGAAGTTCCTTACCTTCCTTTTCCCACCACTTTAAAACGTTTTTAGCCAGTTCTTTTGGTATTAACCTCTATGTCTCTCAATAACTTCTGGTACTGTTACTTCCAGATTGTTTCAGTTTTAAACATGATCTGGTTGGCTTTTCATTGTGGACACAAAACCAAGATTTAGTCCTCTTTCCTTCTCTTCTAAGTCACTTTTCCTATCCTCTCATCCTCCCCAAATGCCTCTACTGTATGTTTAGTTAGATCTGTATTCAAAGTTTGCCATATATGACAGTAAATGCCATTTATAGCTATGCTGTGTAGTATGGTGTGATGACTCTTCATTTCCTATATAGCTTCTGTTTTCCCAAAAATTAATAATTGTCTTGATACAACTTAGCAACTAAACAACAACAACAACAAATGGTTGTCTTGTTTTTTTTTTCATTTGCTTAATTTTCTGTGAAATTTATCATAATTCAACCTCATACTCTCCAAAAAATGATCTAAATCACCTCTCAGTATATTCAGATCTATCAGCTGTCTATCAATTTTATCTTATTGAAGAAATGTCTTTTAGAGTCTGTGGACCTGATCCAATAAGAATCTATTGCTTTTCTCTTGGGATTTCTCTGTGCCATCATTCTGGAGATCCCCATTCCCTTTCGTGAGTTGAATTTCAGCTTCCTATAATCCAAGTCTTCCTTTATTTTTAGTGAAGACCTTCATTTTGGTAGAGCATATGTTCATGAAGCTTTTCGAGGAAGAAAAATTTTTGAGATAATGAATGTCTGAAAATATCTTTACGATACCTTCATACCTACTTAATAATTTGGCTCAGTAAATATTCTAGGATGGGAATAATTTTCTCATAGAATTTTGAAGGCGTTGCTCCATTATCTTCTGGTTTGCAAGGTTGCTCTTAAGAAGTCCAAAGTCATTCTGATTCCTGGTCCTTTGTTTCTGTCTTGTTTCTTTCTATGAAATATTCTCTTTGTCTCTATTTTTCTATAACTTCACTTGATGTACCTTGGTGTGAAATTATCTTCATACTTTGGTATTCACTGCTGCTGCTAAGTCACTTCAGTCGTGTCTGACCCTGTGCGACCCCATAGATGGCAGCCCACCAGGCTCCCCCGTCCCTGGGATTCTCCAGGCAAGAACACTGGAGTGGGTTGCCATTTCCTTCTCCAATGCATGAAAGTGAAAAGTGAAAGTGAAGTTGCTCAGTTGTGTCCAACTCTTAGCGACCCCATGGACTGCAGCCTACCAGGCTCCTCCGTCCATGGGATTTTTCAGGCAAGAGTACTGGAGTGGGGTGCCACTCCAAGTGGCAAGGCTCTCCGTTGGTATTCACTAGGTCCTTTCAATTTGGGAATTTATGTCTTTGAGTTCTGGACATTGTACTGAATTTTTCACTGATTTTTTTTTTTTCACCTTTGTTTTCTCTGTTCCCTATTTCTGGAACACTGATATTTGGCTATTGGGCATCCTGGATTGGTCTTTAATTCTCTTACTTTTTCTCTCAATTTCTTTTTATCTTGGTGGTCTACTTTCTGGGAGATTAAAAAACTATCTTTTACCTACGATTGTTTAACATTACCCTTGTACTTTTAATCTTTAAGGTATTTTTGTTGTTGCCATCATTTTTATAACAGTATGTTTATCTTTATAGCATCTTATTTTTGTTTGATGGGTGCAGTATCTCTTTTATCTCCCTCAAACTGTTAATATCTATTTGTTTCCTCCATGGTTCCTTTTTGAGATTTGGTTATTTGTTTTGTTCACTCTCTTTTGTGTTAGAGGTTTTCTTCAGATGTCCCAAGAGCCTTGATTGTCTAAAAAATCAAGTGAAAGCTGTGACCGATGTGAATGGCTTATTGGCTGAGGTCTTTGCTGTAGGGTTATTTGGCTGGGTTGTTTCATCATTGAACCCCAGTATCAGAATCTTTAGGTCATTCCTTGTGGGATGGTCATGCTCTCCAGAGAAGGATTCTCTCATTTATTGCCCAGAGAAAGAAGGTCTGGCTTCTGGCATTCTGGAAACTGGGTTGGGGAGAAGGCTGGGACTCATCTTCTTCAGAGCTGGGCCCAGGCCCTGCACTGTGCCTGGGATGAGCTTCCAGCCCTCTTTTAGGAGGGAGGAGCAGTTGGGAAGGGACAGGACATGGGTATCCAACTGTTCTACCCCGTGTGTCTAGTATTCAATTCCTGAGACTGTTCTACCACAGAAACTGGCGGCTTCTCGGCTTTTCTAGCTGCAGGTTTAGAATTAAGCTTTCCTGGGTCTGTTAATGACTACTCCTAATCCATTTGCTTTCCAGCTTCTAAAATTCTGCCCCTTTCTCCTTTTTTCTCTGTCCTTACAGATCTACACTAAAAAAAAAAAGAAGAAAGAAACTTTTTGTCATTTTAGTGACAGAAGCCAAGTGAAAGAGGAAGCAAACATATGTGTTCTAGCCATCATTACCAAGAAATCTTTTTTTAAATTGAACTATCAATTTCACATGCCATAATATTCAAGCTTTTAAAATGGTACAGATAAGTGGTTTTCCTATATATCCATAGTTGTGCAACCATCACCACTGTCTAATTCCAGAATATTTTCATCACCCTGAAAGGATATCCCATACCCATCAGCAATCATTCCCCATCCCCTTACCCTTGGCAACTGTTGATCTACCTTCTGTTTCTATGGCTTGCCTAGTCTAGACACTTCATATAAATGGAATAGTACAATATGTGGCCTTTTGTGTCTGGCTTATTTCACTTATCATGATTTTTTAAAATATATATCATGATAATTTAATGGCATTATTAAAGTGTATACAATCCAAATTTAAACACTTAGCGTCTAATCTCAGTTTCACTTGAAATAGATAAGCGAATTTTATTTACATGTCAATACTTCTCACTCTTTGATGATTTGAAACAGAATTTTCTAAAATAAATTTTGTCAAACTGTCTCTTCAGATGTTTGGTCAAATTCACTTAGCATGATGCTTTCAAAATTAATTTTGTGGCATGAATCAGTACTTCATTCCTTTTTTTAAAAAAAAAAAAGACTTGTATTGAGACACTAATTCTTTATGGCTAAATAATGTTCCATTGTATGGATATACCACATTTTGTTTACTCATCAGTTGATGAATATTTGGGTTGTTTTTGCTTTGGGGCTATTATGAATAATGGTGCTCTGACCATTTGTGTATAAGTTTTTCTATGCATACATGCTTTAATCTCTCTTGTGTAGATATCCAGGAGTGGAATTACTGGATCATATGTAACTCTGTATTTAACTTCTTGAGAAATTGCCAAATTGTTTTCCAAAGTAGCTGCACCATAATACATTCCTGCCAGCAATATCTGAGTTCCAATTCCTTCATATCCTTGTCAACACTTACAGTTGTCTTTTTGATTACAGTCATTGTAGTGGATGTGAAGTGGTACCTCACTGTGGCCTCAATCTGCATTTCCCTAATGACTAATGATGTGGAGCATCTTTTCATGTGCTTATTGACCTTAAATTTGCTGAAAATTTAAACATACACACAAAAGACATAAAGATTAATAAAACAAGTATGGTTTACAAGCCACAGATAGTGAGAAATAAAACCATGCCAACAGTTAAACCTCCCCTGGGTACCTTTCCCAGACCCTCTTCCTTCCCTCCCTGTAGAGGCCTCCACTGTCATGAATTTGAATGACATAATCTGAGCATTAGGAAGCAGAAGGGTGGAATGGTTAAAATCAAGAGATGGATGCATGATTCTGGGCAAACATGTAGCCTCTCAAAACCTCAGTGTCTCTATCTGTAAATGGGGATAATAAAACAGCCCTCAAAAGGTCACTGTAAAGATTAAATGAAACAAAGCATCCAAAATGATTAGCACAGTGCCAGCTCAAAGGAAGGCTGGGTAAGTGCTGGCAAATATTAGTACCAGAGCCTTAGAACCAGGGACTCAGGTTCATAAAATGCTTGCATTAGCAGAGAGCAGAGAGAACACTGAATCCAACTTTCCTCTCCTGGCTCTAAGATGACATAACTGAGGCCCTGAGAGAAGGAAAGGAATTTGTCTAAGTTCACAAAAGGGGGGCAGCCCCTTTATGTACCCACTCATCTACAGGTGAGAGGGGAGACAAAAAGAATTTTCGTCTTTTTTTTTTGCTTCAAAGTGATTTCCTGTCTAGGGAGTGAACATTTGCCTGTTTCTTGAAACCTTCAAAGAGCCTTATGAATCCACAGGTCTGCCCAGAAACAAGTGACGAGGGCCCTGGGCAGCCAATGGAAACATGCTGGCCTTTTCACCTGCCTCGGGGGGGCACCCCCTACTCATCCTGTCCCGTTAAAGGCAACTGGCTGAAGTGGGGGTATTTCCAGCTTTGTGGCTTTCACTTCCACTTCTACCAGGTGGGCGGAGTGGCCTCCTGTGGACGAATCAGATTCCTCCTCAGCCCCAACTTCAAGAGGTGAGCAGGGGACTCAGCATCCCAGATACGCAGGCAGCAGCAGCAGCAGCAGGAGTGGGGAAGACCAGAGGTCAGAAGCATGGAAGACCAGCGTGACCTCATCTCCAACCATGAGCAGGTGCCCATGCTGAGCCAGCGCCCCGGAGCCCAGGAGAGGTATGTGTGAGCAGTAGGAGAGAGCAGCCAAATGTTGGACTGCACAGATGTACGTGCACAGGCGCTACAGAAGGAGCACTAGACCAGGAGTCAGATGAGGCATGAACTTAGGCTCTGACTCCAACACTAACTGGGTGATCTGGGGCAAGTCTCTGGCCGTCTGGCTTCAGTTCTCCCTCTTGTAAAATGAGGGAGTTCCTCTAGGGCAGGGGTTTAACTTTCTTTGCATCCCATACTTCTCTTCTGAAAATCAGAGAGCTCGGTACTCTTTTCCTATAGTTTCCCACAGTATCAGGAGCTTCCCAGAGTCCCTTGAAGCTGGGCCATGAGTCCTAGATTAGAAATTTTGAAAATATTATGGATCCTAGATGGAGAAGCAGATTTTCTAAAAGAGAATGGCAGAAGCAGCTCATCATAGAGGAGTTTCCTCCTAGTTGTCCTAAGTTGGTATATGTGTTTATATCAAGGGAATTATAGTTGCAGGTGTCTGTAGAGTAGATGAAGATGTTTGCTATCACAGGAGGGAATGAGAGATATTAGAGGAGGGTCAAAAAAGGGTGAGGTGGGGGGCTCTGGCTAAATTTCTAGAAGGGGCTGTGGGTTGATGTGTGTGGTGTCCTGCCCATACCCCTCTCCCTTGCAGCAAGGGGCCAGCACAGCCATCCAGAGGACCCGTTCCCAGATCCTTATCCATCTGTTTCCCTGAAAAAAAAAAAGGGAATGGCTAGAATACAGCTACCCCAATGTCCCTGCACCCCCCCCCAATAATTTGCATATTACAGGGACTTGTGATGTCAGCAGTTGCCAGGCAGAAAGGGGTTTGGGACAGACTCTCAGAGATGTCATGAGGAACTGCATACTGTGGGACATGTAACTCGAGATAGACCATTAGTGCCTGGCCTGTGAAAACCCTGGGAAATCCCATGGCTAGGAGGGCCAGCTCTTGTGAGGGCTGGATTCTGGTTGAGGTTCTGCAACTGTATGACTTGTATAAATCACAGTTTCTCTCTGGGTCTCAGTAGTAGCAGCAGCAATAATAATGACAGTGGTTATAATAGTTCCTATTCACTGTATACTTGTTACCAATCCTCAGTCCCTGATAGATATTAGTATGATTAGTTTTGTGGTGGGCATATAACTAAATGATAAACTCAATCATAATTCTTTTACTAACTTTAAGTTGGGTACTTTTATTATTCCCATTTTTACTTAAGAGAAAATTGAGACTTGTATTAACAAGTGAGTCACCAAAGTTATTGCAGCTAGTGAATACTGGAGCCAGAATTTGAACCCAGGACTAGTTTGATATTAAAATTTGAGTTTGTCTACCATCTGACCCCCTTCTAGAGGCACAATTTGCATGGAGGGGAAATGGGTCCCCTCTGAGCACAGGCCACCCAGTGAGTTGCAGAGCCAGCGTGGGCTCAGTGAGCAGAAAGGGTGCCCCCTTGTCAAATCCTTGTCTGGTTTTCCCCAGTTCAATCACTGCTTCTAAAAACTGTCCTGGCCTGTTTTGGACCCTTTTGTGGACACTTCTGCCTGGCAACACTTGTACCATGATTCCTCCTAGTTCTGGTTGGCTCCTGACTTTGGCCAACTGTTTATTCAAGAAAGAGGCATTAGAAAGGAGGAAGTGACAAGAGTTGGCACTCATCCAGAACCAGGAGACAGGCCATCAAGATGCATAAAGAGGAAGGAAACCAGATGCTAAAGTTAATTATTAACTCCCTTGAGATTATGCTCAGTGTTACAGACTGCTAACTAGGCGCCAGGTACGGAGTCAAGAGCTTTATCCTGATCTCATTTTATATAACAATCCTTTGAGTAGATATTCTTACCTTAAGTTACTAAGGGAGGTTGAGTGACTTGCCCCTGTTCCCTGAGCTAAGGGAATGACAGAACCAGGATTACAATCCAGGTTACAGGGTCTCATCTTTATTACGACTCTCTAGATTCTTAGACCTTATGAGAAACTGAGGTTCAGAGAATAGACGGTGGGAGGCACAGCTGGGACTCAACTTGGGTGTGGGGTTGCTGAAGAGGTGAGGCTATAGAGCTTGAACTCAGGAAGACCCAAGCTTGGGTGGACTTTTCACCACTTCAGAGGCCAGGCCGCCCCTCTTCCTTGGGAAGGCCAAAAAGTAGGATTTGTTTTCCTCTCCTGTCTGGTTTTCTCCTTTTCTCCACACAGGATTTTTACATTCTGTTTTCAGAGTAATAATCCCCTGGACTGGGCCTTGGTCCAGAAATCACAGAGGATTGGCGAGCAGAGGCAATGAGAATGAGCCATGTTTGTGACGTCATGAATTACTAGGCAGCAGGGTCTTCCTGGGGTTTCCTCAGCTGTCCTTGCTGGTTCCCTCGAGAAGACAAGGCCCTTGTTCTCGGCTCTTCCCCACACAGGGGCAGCTCCAGGATTTCTACTTGGGGGGCTATAGGGGCAGCAGTGGCTGGAGGTAGGGGGTCGGGGGAATATCGTCAAGCTGTAAGCTCATAGGCACTTATTTGTGCTTAAAACGCGTGTTTGTTAGGGGAAGCTGAGGGCAAGGGCTGGAACTAGGGGGGCACATTCCCCCATTCCCAGCCGGTCCCCGGGGCAGCCACCTCTGTGGACTCTCCTCTGACCTATGTCCCCCTCCTCTCCCCCACAGCAAGTGCAGTCGTGGAGCCCTGTACACAGGCTTTTCCGTCCTGGTGGCTCTGCTCCTGGCTGGCCAGGCCACCACTGCCTACTTCCTGTACCAGCAGCAGGGCCGGCTGGACAGGCTGACGGTCACCTCCCAGAACCTGCAGCTGGAGAGCCTGCGCATGAAGCTTCCCAAGCGTGCGTGCCCCGCCTCTGTCCTGACAACACCCCCTGCCCCTCACCTCAGAGAATCCTCATTCCTGCCCCAGCTGGGCCCACTGGCCTTGCCCTCTGGTCTGGAATTCCAGCCCCTCATCTGGGTCTGGGCTCTCGGTCCCCGGGTCTGAGTACCCTCTTCCCTGGGCACTGGGGCCGCACTCATGCTGTGCCTTCTACCCCCACAGCTGCCAAGCCTTTGAGCCAGATGCGGATGGCCACTCCCATGCTGATGCGGGCGCTGCCCATGGCAGGCCCAGAGGTAAGGCCAACCCCAGGGCAGTAGGAGAGGGAAGCTTACCCCACCTGGATGGAGGGCAAGTGCCAAGGGACAGGGGAGGACAGCTGGCCCAGGAAAAGTGCAGCTGGAGAGGGGGTCCTGGCTGTTTGGGGGAGGAACAGGAATTCCAGGGGTGAAGGAGGAAAGAGCCTCTTGGGGCCCTCTCTGGGAGGAAGGCCCATCCCTTCACAAATTATAAAGTGCTTCTCATTTCCCAGAGTGTCTCACAGTCCCTCCTATTTTTAGAGCCCTTGATATATAGATGATGTTTCTGTTCACAAAACTATCTCCTGTCCACAAAGCCTTGGGCAGGAAAGTTTATGCAGAGTAGAAGAACAGGATATTGAGGCAGGACAACCTGCTCAAGCTCTCACAGTGGGAGGTGGTAGAGGTGGACTTGAACATCTGGGAATCCAGACTCTCACCCAGACTCCAGCTGCTGGCTCTGCTCTGGGCCCCACCCCCAGGGGCCAGTGCTGGGAACTCCTCCTTCCTTCCTTCCTTCCACAGCCCATGAAGAACGCCACCAAGTACGGCAACATGACCCAGGACCACGTGATGCACCTGCTCCTGGTGAGGGAGCCCAGCCAGGCAGCCCTCACCTCCCACCCCATCCCCACAGGCCCCTGGCTGGGGCTGTGCTTCAAGACCTGCACCAGGCCTGGCTCACAGCAGATTAGTGAAGGAACACAAATGTGGCCCTTAACGTTCTATGAAGTTCGGCCCCACTGCTCCCCACTTTTTTGTGTTTGAGATGGAGAAACCAAGGCCCAGAGTCTGGAAATGACTTGCTGAAGATGCCTGTTTTATTCCTTCCCAAATTTTTACTGCACGTCTACTTAGCACCAGGCACTGTGCAAGGCTCTGGAGCCACAGTGGGGAGCAATCAGATCAGTTCCTAGTCCATGAAGATCGCAGGCTAGCATGGGAGACAGACAAGTGACCAGGTGATGAGGGATGTGCAGGGGGCTTTGAGAGAAAAAGAGGCCGAAGATCTGACCTAGCTGGGGCGGGAGGGTTGGGATGAAGTCAAGGATTCCCTCTGAAGGAGGTGAGACCTGGAAGATGAGTAAGAGTCTGCAAGGATCAGAAGACTGAGGGCTGTTGGTAGAACTGGGCCTGGGTCTCCTGACTCCCAGCCCCGGGGTGTTGTAGCTGGTCCCCTGGATTACTGTAACACGTCCTCTTCCCCATTAGCTCCAGTGTGCTGAGGTCTGGACTCCATACCTCAGAACCAAAGATCAGGGCAACATGAGCTGTACATTAAACCTTGCCTGCCTGGAAGCTTTTTAACCTTCCTTCCTGCCTTGCTACCCTGCAGAAGGCGGACCCCCTGAAGGTGTACCCGCAGCTGAAGGGGAGCCTGCCAGAAAACCTGAAACACCTTAAAGACACCATGGATGGCTTGGACTGGAAGGTCAGCAGCTTTCCCTGCACTGGTACCCTGCCTCCCTGTCTACAGCAGCCCTGGGACGAGGGGCGTGAGCAAGGAAGCCGTTCTTAGGAAGCTGGAGGCGGCTTCCCAGCACTTAGGAAGCTCCCACCATGGGAGAATGCTTGGACTTGAGGAACCACCTTGACCAAACCCTGTGGGGTGTCTAAGGGGGAACCAGGTCCCCACTGGCTCTTCATGTCTCTGTCCCCAGGGGCACAGTCAGTAGGGTGGGAGTGGGCTACTAAGCCTGACCCTCTGCCTTTATCCCCATTAGCTCTTTGAGAGCTGGCTGCATCAGTGGCTCTTGTTTGAAATGAGCAAGAACTCGCTGGAGGAGAAGCCCTTTGAGGTTCCACCAAAAGGTAAAGGGAAGGTGAATCTTGGGGAGGTGGGGTTTCTGGGAGCTCCCTCAGGGATAGGGCCTTGAGTGCTTCTTGATCCAAGCACAGGGCTCTCCCAGCCTCCCAGCTCTCACTCCTGTTTCTCCTGCCTGTCCTTCTGGGCTTGGCTGCCCCCAGCCCCCATCCTGTCCCTTCAGGAGGTGACCTCCCTTGTGGAGGATGGAACTGCACCAAGGAGGCCTGGAGCAAAAACCACCCAAAACATCTCAGGAGTCATAGCAATGACCTTCCCCACTCAGCGCTGCATCCTGCAGGCTCCCATGATAGGGTTCGGCTCATGATTCCTACCCTTCCAAGGGACCTCTCTCAGGTCACACAGCCATGGCTGCTAGATAAGAGGGCCTTGGGGTTCTTCCATCTCATAGGAAATGTGTAGCAGGGTTTTCAGCCTGAAAGCCTTTATGGGTGCTCTGTTCTCATCCTGGAGCTAATGGGCTATGTGACTTTGGGCAAGTCTCTTCCCTCTGGGCTTCAGTTTCAGAAGTGGAAGATCAAGGGCCTACCCTTCCTGAATCCCAGGATTCTCCATAATGGATTCATAGAGGGCACCTTGCATGTTATCTTGATCAACTCCCAGCTAATGTTCAGATCCCCTCTGTAACAGCCTCATCACCTGGTAACCCCCATTTCTACTTGGATACCCCCAGTAATGTGAGCTCAGACTTAGCAAGGCGTCTGCTGCTTTTCTCTAGAAATCAGAATCATAGGTGCAACTCTAAACTCTAATAGGCACTAAGTGTCAGAAGAAATCATCATGTTCTGGGATGAATTAGCATCATAGCCATTCACTTCCTCTCTGATCCTGGACCTTGTTGGTCCAGGCCTCAGTTTTTCCATCTGTGCAATGGGTAGAGCAAGCGCAGCCACTTGGACAGAAGGCATTAGGCACACAACAGTGGTACGTGGACCTCTGGTTCTGCTGAGACCCCAGCCCAGAGCCCGCTCACTGACTGTGTTCACCATGCCTGTTGCTTCAGTACTGACCCAGTGCCAGGAAGAGGTCAGCCGCATCCCTGCCATCCACCCGGGCGTGTTCAGGCCCAACTGCGACGAGAACGGCAACTATATGCCGCTCCAGTGCTATGGGAGCATCGGCTACTGCTGGTGTGTCTTCCCCAACGGCACCGAGGTCCCCCACACCAGGAGCCGCGGGCGCCATAACTGCAGTGGTAAGCAGTGGCCACTATGCCAGGAGCAGGAAGGATCAGAAAGGCTGAGGGGCAGGACGTCCCTACTGGCACACCATGGGCTAGGATATGCAAGGTGCCAACTCCGGGGAGGAGCCACTCAGCCATGCATCCACCCACCTGTGCATTCCTTATTTATTTGTGTACTATTATTTCTCTCCTTATGTCTACACTCATCTACTTAATTCGTTTGTCCTCCAACCCTCCCACTCTACCCATCCACGCATTCATCCAGGGTCCTCCAGATCCACCCATTTGATTTCATCACCCCCTCCTTGGCCTCGCTCATTCAGTGCCCCAGTCACATCTCATTGCCACTTGCAGCCATCCAACAAGCGTCCTTCCATTCACATCTGTTCCACCAAGCACCAGGCTTGTGGCAAAGTTGGGCAGAGCTAGCCCACCCAGGCTCCTTGCCAGTGGGTGCAGTAGGCTGGACTGCAACTAACAAGTGGGCTCTCTGCTCCTTTGCAGACCCAATGGAGATGGAGTATCCATCATCCGGGCTGGGGCTGTAAGCAGGATTTCAGTCAGGTAAGCACGCTTGCAGGGCATCTGGTCTCCAGCAGCTTATCCGCAGAGGGGCCAGCTTGCTCGTGGATGATGACCCCAGGCCATTCTCCAGTTTCCTTCTCACAGATGAGGACCAGGGCTGGGGATTTCCGGGGCCATGGCGGTCAATTCTTGAATCCAAGCAGGAGGCAGGGGAGGGTGAAGGGCCCTCAACTGCTCTGAGGCCACAGGATGCTGGGTGGGGGCGGGGGGGGGGGGGCAGGGACAAGTGACTCTAATACTAACCTGCTGCTTCCCTCCTTGCAGTTGCCCCGTGAGCTCAGCAGACGCAGATGCCAGCACCCAGACAGCCCTGCAAGTCCACAGCTTCCCTCCCTGCCCCAGCCCCTCTCCTTCCCTTACACACCCTTCCCCTTGCCGTCTCCCACCCTGCACCTCATTCTATGAGACTCTGCCTCTCCATCATCTTGGACACAACAATCATATCAGAACGGCATAGATCAGCGGTACACTTGCTGCCCAAACTCCCATCCACTAGCAGGGACACACGGCCCAGGACATGGACCATGAGTGAGGCTGACCCCCACTGCTGACTCCATAGCAGGCTGACACGGAACTCCAAGATCGAGGCCCAGGGAAGTGGTTGGCAGGTGCAGGGAGAAGGGACGGCACTATCCCAAGTCCCAGGATGGACACCTCTGCTCTCCCCTCCCCTCCAGGCCTCGGCTTTCCAGCCCTTTAACTGGGGGCATGAGCCACCCCTTCCCTCTCCCCAGCATCATACACCCAAGAAGAACCAGCCTCCCCAAACTGCAGCCCCTCCCCTCACTTTCTGCCATCCCCCAGTTCCCTCTGCACAGCCAAGCTTGTCATCAGCCCTCCGGCCATGGCTCCTGTGAGAATAAAAGGTAGTGAGTAGAACACTCCTGGCTCTCAGCTGTTCTGTTGGGCATGGTCTGTCTACCCCAAGGGGGTGAACTGAAGACGTTGAATCCTGTGGTTGACGAGGCAGGTCACAGCCTGGGGAGCCCACACACAGATGCCAGGCTGGGGTGCTACAGTGTTTGGACACAGACCACTTCTCCATGTTTCATACAAAGGAATACTTTACTTGCAAGAAGAAGAAACAGGCTCTTGCCCATAATTCTTTAAGCACCAGCTCTTCTGGGTCCAGCTTCTCCTGTCCCCGTTTTCATTTCTATACTAAGAACAGTACAAGTGTAATGACAGATGGCAACAACGCAGGCCCTTGTGTCGGGACCACCAGGGAGTGGGGGCTGTGGAACTGGGGGCCAATGTCCTACTTAAGGGGTGGCCGCTGTGTGGCCCCAGCCGCTTGTTGCTGGGAGGAACACGGGCCCCTGTGGTCACATTTCTGGACTTTCCAAGAGGAGCCCTAAATGAAAAAGTTTATTGAAATCTCCCCATTTCTAGGTCTGAAGACTTGCTAGGGGTCAAAGGAACCCAACAGGACAATGCTCTGCAGCCTCTGTTCTAGCCAACATACTTAGGGGAAGAGAGGTGACCTGGGAGGGGGTCCCTGCCCAGGGGCCCCCAGTTAAGGGTACAGTTGACTGTCACCCTGACTCCCAGACGCCCCAAGCTCAGTGCTGTTTCTGCACGGACTCTCGCTGTCTCCAGCAGAAGGCTAAAAGCCTTGGACCGCCATGACCAGAGGTGCTTCACACTGTTCTGGGCCCAGGGAAGTGGGCCCCCCATCACTGCCATCACAAACTCCTGTGGATGTCACCCTGACACATCTTTTGCGTGCCTCCTCTTCTTGCCTTCATCACAGCAAAACCTTTGTAGCTTAGCCTGACCATGCCCAAGCTCCCCCTTAGCTTAGATGCCACCTCCTCCAGGAAGCCTTCCCCACCCCATCAGGGCCCTTCACTGAGTTTCCGACTTTGGCAAACGGGGTGTCACTCACCACAGTACCCCAGAGTCTTGATACACCATCAAGAATTAATCTTGAGCATATGAGGTCTGTTCATCTCCCAGTGTCAGTCAGACTCTCCCTTCCAAGAAACAATCAATTGCAGAGCATTTGCCCAGAGGCACTGGGAACTTGCACCTTTCCTTCAAGTCTTTTATTTTCTGAGTTCTTACAAAAAAAACATACAAACAAAACAGGAAAAAACTGACAAAAGGAGGACAAAGCCTCAGCATCGGCCAGAGACCGGGGCATGAAGGAGCCACAGACTGGGCCTCACTGGATCTATATAGCAGAGGCAGAAAGTCCTGAGGCCTTGGGGCATGTTGGGGCTGAGAAGGGAGGGGCAGGTCACTTAAAAAAATATATATATACTGTACACGTCCATCCATCCGAGGCATCCTGCGTTGGAGAGAATTCAGTGAGCAGAGGTCATGGGGCCAGGCAGGCTTCTTCCTCCTTGGACCAGCCTCCCTGCAGGGCTTGCTGGTTTGGTCAGCATGGACACCGCAGCTGGCCATCGTCTTCTGGGGAGGGAGGGGAAGTTAAAAATTCAATTCCCACCCTCAGTGGGCAGAGGGAAGAGGCATGGGGATGGCCACCACTTGGCTAAGAAATCCCTGGGAGAAGGAGATATAAGACTTCCCCAACTTTTTCTCCACCAAGGAGAACAAAATCACATCAAAAGTTCTCCCCATGCAGGAGAGGAGCATTAACTAACCCCGGTGGATACCTGGTGGTGCTGACTGTGTCCCAGGAACTGGGACGAGGGCTTCAGAGCTTAGCTTCATTGAAGCCTCTCACCACCTGCCCAGGCCTCTATCACCCCTGTTTACAGCAGACTGGAGCTTACTCAGCTTGGTGGAGCACTCCACCCCTTCACCACCACCTGGGAAGCACAGAGTCATCAGAATGGCTTGCTTTGAGCAAAACATGTTCCTTCCCATGAGGAAAGGCCCTCGAATTACAAAATTAGAAAGAAAAGGAGTGACAGTGGCGAAGGAGACTGAGCTGTCCCCGACCTCAAGCCTTATCCTCACGCAAAGGAGGAAGCATGCCAGTGTGCCCTCCCCCACCACATCCCAGCACTGCTCCGAGCAACTCAGTGGCATCACCCACTGCCCTTGGGGAACTGAACCTTCTTTCTCCAAAACCCCTTCCCCTCAGGCCTACCCACGAGGCCCAGTCTCGCTCCTGAGGACCACGGCAGATGCTGGAGCTGACCTCCCGCCCTCCCCAGCGAGCAGATGGTCAGCAGGGGTTCCCAGGTCAGGAGTGTACCTGCCGCCTGGTGTCCCTCAGACAGTCTGCTCTGCCGTCTTCTTCTGTGAAGAGAGAAGCAGGAGAGGCTCTTGTACCTGGAGTGTCTCTCCGCCCACGCCACCCTCACCAGCAGGGGCTATGACAGTTCCTTCCTGAGGCGCCGTGGCTCCCCCAGAACAGATACTGGGGATAGAGATCCTGAGGGTGCAGAGGGTGCCCCCTGTGCCCTGGAGGATGGAGCCCAGGACTTTGCAGCAGCAGATGCTCTGATTTTCTGACCATAGCTGTGGCCCTGCTGGCCATGGTGAGAACCACATCAGGGTATGAGGAGCTGAGGGCCCCTGGTCAGGCGATCAGCCCTTAACATGGGTGACGCAGACCATCAGTGTCTCTGCCATGGGGATGCCCCGCCAGCAGGGGCACACACACCCAAGGGAACCTTTTCTCTCACCCAGAAACCTGCAACAGCCTAGCTGGGCTCCCGGCCCCAGGGGGCCTTCTCTTTTCTTCACTCGTCATAATAGCCTCCTACCTCACAGGCAAGACAGGGCCGCTCCATGGCCCCCACATGCACAGACCTTGGGCCTCTCAGGGTGGCCCCCACCTCCGAGCTCTTCTCTACTGTCTCACAATACACAAGCCCCCGTTCAGGACCCTGAGAATGGTAGGGGCACAGGGACTGGGTCTGGCTCACGTTCACCCCGGGACTGGGTCTGGGTCCCCTTTCCTAGCCCAAGACTCCTTGGGACTCACTCTACCTTTCTCTTCTTTTTCTTCTGTGATGGTGAGCCAGGGTCTTTGGTTGAGGCCTTTTTTGCTTTCTTCTTCTTTTCCTTTTTCTCCTTGTCTTTTTTTTCTAAGGGAAGAAAGTAAAATTGCTAAACAACAGATGTTAATCTTAAGGGTTGGGTCAAAGTGGGCAGACACAGAGCATGTCTCCAGGGGCCCTAAGGCTCTCTCCTCTCCATGCCCCACACCCTAGAGGGCCATCGAAGCACAAGTCTTATGATTTCTGCCCCATGGAAGACCTGGACAGTTACCATTTTAACTCACTTTGTAAAATTTCTACACAGATTTTAAAAAGACACTTTCAACCTGTAAAATGGGAATGAGTGATCACCCATCAGGCAGGGCTGGGGTGGGGGTTAAACGTGGCCTGGCTGCACGAGGACTCCAGCACAAAATGCAGCAAGGGGCGGCTGCTATCCAGGAGCCTGGACCCCAGGAGCCTGGGCTGCCAGTGAGCGTGGCTGTGGCCGCCGTGAGGGAGTGCAGGGCTCTGCGAGCAGAACACGCCCTGGAGCTGTGAGCACCATCCTGGTGGTGGTGGCCCCGCTGCTCCAGCACCTGGTTCTGGCTTTGCCCATCCTGCTCCCAAGACGGACAAGACATTCTCAGCTCTCTCTGTGCTGGCTGAAGGCTGCTCGCACGAGTGGGGAATGACAGTCCTCAGCAGGACTGGGGAAGTGTGCTCTGGGCTGCAGCGGGCACTTACTCTTGTCGGATTTCTTCTTCTCTTTCTTTATCTTGAGGTTGCCGTGGTCTCCCCCGTCACCCTTCGGGGTCCCCAGCTCCCCTACTAGCTTCTCCTTGGCCCCTTGAGAGCCGGGAGACTCCTCCTTCTTCTCCTTGACGTCACCACCTGCTCTGTCCTTCTTGGATTTCCCCTTGACAGTCCTGGGGGCCTTTTCTGAGGAGACCACATGCTCCCCGCCATCTGTGGCTGCCAGCTGCTTCTTTTTCTTGCTCTTGGGGGCCTTGGGGGTTGTCTGGTCTTCAGACAGCTTCCGCTTATGGCCCAGGCGGCCC